TTCATTGAGATGTACTTATTTACTGTAAAATGTTGCAGCTGGAATTATATTTATTTTCCAAATAAAGCATTGACTGGCCATAAAGAATAATTGTTTGGCACAAACATCTGTTTATTGGGCATTTTTATTTCAAGGGTGGCTGTTTTGCAGTTAGAACAGTCCTGTTGTACAGGTTTGTCTCCTGAATTATTGCCAGGAATTGTGCAGGTGAATATTAAATAAAACTGTGACTCATCTAGGCTACCTGCTCAGGGCAAAGCTGACCTGACCTGCGGGCTAGCGAACAACCGGTTTGGGGGTGAGGGAAAAGGCGAGATGGACTGATGCTGTACTGTTCAGTGAAGGTGCTGGTGCAGATGGATGGGTAATCAGGTACAGCCGTGCGATATCCAGGTGGGTCACTGGCAGTCTTCGTAACGGTTCTGATAGCAGATTGTTGTAACTGCCGAGTAAACTCAGTCATGGTGTATGAGCTTGGCAGTTAGGAGGGCAAGTTTCTTCTATTTGTGGTGCTCAGCTGTCGAGTGCCAGCATTCTGTCTGTACCTGCTAAAATGAGGCAAGTAGCGCCTTGAAAGAGAGACTGACTGATGATAAGAAACCAAATACTTGCTTCAACTGTGTATCAAATCTCTTTAATGTAAGTCTAAAGGTCAACTGCCAGTATTTTATGCCTTAAAGGATTTGTGTTTGATTTTTTTTTTTTCGTGTAAACATTGGTGTCGTTACCCGTGGGCACTCCCTGTAAAGGTGTTCAGGTTCACCTCTCGCCCTGCTCTGCCTTCATCTTAAGTCAGCAGACATACGTTGTTGTGAAACTTCTGCACGCAAATGTCCCTCTGCACAGAAGTCTGCGTGAGTCCGGTCTCATAAAATGTTGTTTTTTATCCTTGGAGAAGCAGAAATGAGGATAGAGAGCAAAGCTCTGCTTGCATTCTTTGCTTTCAGATGGTTGTCTTAGTGTGGAGTCAGGATGATTCATGTTTTAACTGTTGATTCATCTTTGATAATAGGAAGCGGTTTTTAAAATAACTGCGTTTTTTTTGTCATTGGAGAAAACTCCTTAGCCCTGGGAAAGAGAGAAGGAAGCAGGTGGAACACCAGGTAGACGTGGAGGGCAGTAACAAGCCAATAGTCACCTGCCTTTGTCATGGGGGGAAGAATCTGGGCTCTTTATTTCTTTGGTTAGTTTATTTCCTTCCCGTTTGAGATTTCAGTTGGAGGTTGTAGTCTCATTTGCAAACCTGTGTTTAAATACAGGAGAAGAGGTTGCTTGGTATAGTAAGGAGGTACATGTGCAAGATTTTGAATGTTTTGATTTCTTGAATATTGAACGTTTTGAATTCTTCAGTGTCATAGAATGACTCCCTTCACTGGGTTGTTACCAGGTCTGGCTGCACGGAACAACGAGGCAGTGAAGCTTGGTGAGGTGGAGTGCTCTTGATGTTGCTGACAGAACTATAGGAAGAGTGATTTTGTATTCTTTGTCATTTCAAATAGCGTAGCAGGATTTAGCGGGGTAGGTGGTGATACTTTGTTTTTTCCTGGGTGTTCAGGTGCTAAGTTTAGCCACTGCTAAATACGGCACAAAATAATCAAAGTTAATAAAAACTCGAAAGCCTATACAGAAGGACTATAAGGTGTTAGATTTAATGGGAACTGGCCACAAATAAATATCTTTAGAGTTAATGTAAGGGTAAGAAAGGTCTGGAATGTTTTCAAACTAACAAAACCCTACTAAACTAAACCCAAACTCAAACTCTTGGGACTGACAGGAAAGTCCTCGGGAGGCGAGATACTCCACACTTGTGTTTTACTTGTTTCCTGCACTTTCCTCTGAAGTACCTGTTTCTGGGTGCTGTCAGAGGCGCTGGGGGGGTGACGGGACGCAATTTGGGTAGAGCTGGAGCCATTTGTGACAGTTTTGGCCTGGAAACCTGGTAACTCGTGCCACACTTGTGGCTTTGCTAGTTGAAATGCTGCATGCTGATTCCGACCGGCTCCGCTGCTCTCTGTGACGGGTTAGTCACTTTTGCCTCGTTTAGTCCATCGGTTAAATTGTCAAGAACACTTAATCACATTTAGAAAACACTTGCATTTGTTGGGCTGAACTTCTGAGTTTGGAAAATATTAATGGACTGGGTTTTGTCCCTCCTCCTTACTTTGATAAGTAGTCAGAGTCTGAGGTACGAGGCTGTCCTGGCAACTCCGTTTGTCGCACTTGTGCGTCCTTGGTCCCCCATCTGTGTGGTAGAAGTCCAGGAAGAGTGAATCTGTTCTGTGGTGGTGACGTAGTTATTCTCCCTCGCTGGGAAGGAGTTCAAACATTGCTCTGGTGTTTAGTGTCGTTTCTGTGCTGGAAAAGAAATGTGCATTGATCATAAGGATATGAGGTCAAAAAAATTCAGACTGTTAAGACTAAAACTGAAAAAAAACCCCAACTCATTAATTTACATACTATTTTTAAAAAGTAGATATGAGGCAAAACTATTTAACCATTCACCCCTTGGCTTTTAGAAAGACCCCATTCTGGAATGCTTTGGCCGAGGAGTTTGAAATTGGCCAGCATCTGGTAAAATGCGTGCGAGGCGTGCGACGTTCGATTATCTTTGCCGTGAGATAGATGCTCCCACAAATGGAACTGCTGTGCTTCAGAAACGCAGAACGTGACAGAGGAACTGTGACACGCCACTGCACAGAGCGTAGCACAGCTGGCTGAACAGAGGATTCTGCAAAGAATATTACGGTCCTTTGAAATGTCAGGTACAAGTGCTTATTTTTAACATACGTGTTGCGAAGGCAAGAATTCGGATTTCTTTGGCAGTTCGGGAGAGCGATCGTACTTCTAACTGAAGGGATCCTATGAGAGCAATTGTATTTCTTTTGAGATGTGTCTCAGAGGAGGTGCTAGTTTGAGCAAAGTGGATCCCAGAGATAAATTGCAGAGGTGTCTGCGTTTTGTGTGTCTGCAGGTCCGTAAGTTTTCTGGGAGCAAATAAACTACCATGTATCTTGTTTCAGCTGTTCAGATACCGAGGTGATAAAAATCTGTCTCGTCAAATTTAGGTGCATTCAGGATACAGTTTCTAGTTTTTCTGGCAGTTTGGTGTTCTATATATGCAAAATAAGAGGTGCGTCTATATTAGGGGGGGCGAAGAAAAAGCGGAAGTTCTGTGTTTTTCAGAACTCTGTTGGTTAAATGGAAAACTTAGATACGGTTAAAAGTTGACAATTGATGCAGATATTTCCTTGAAACACTCTGGCTGTCAAAATAAGGAAGACTTGGGTTTTGGTTACTGAACACGCACGAAGGAACTGTTCCTCTTTGCCCATCCCGTTTGCGTCGGCTGGCATTGGGGAATCCGGGCGTTTTCAGCAGCCTCTGTTGGCTCAGGAATGTAACAGTGTGCAGTACCGCTGCTTTACCTTGGTCAGAAACGGTAGCCGTTGTGCACAACCCTTAGTTTGTTCATGTCCCTCAAATAGAGGGGGAAGAAAGTGCATAATAGACACTTTTGGGGGTTTTTCATCTTTTTCATTCCCTTCAACCCTTGAATACGGTAGTACACGCAGAATTTGTCACAGAAGGGAGCGCTGAGGAAAAGAGCTGCTGAGGGATGTTCTGCACAGTAGTCTTCCTCTCGCTGCCTCCATAAGGCAGCAGATTGGGGTAACGGAGGGTGTTTCTGATTGTGGCATGGACGGGGACAGTGGTAACTACAGAATGGAAGTTGTAATTCTCCCATTAAAAAAAAAAACAGCACTGATAGCTTTTAGTCGTATTTTTATTTCTGCGTCGTCTAGTGCCTCGTGTAACTCAGTTTGCGTTGTGCCGATGGAAGAAGCGTCTTAGCCTTTCAGTTGGACGCTGGAGTAGACAGTGACCCCGATGTCAAAAAATTCTACATTTGGTTAAATTAATGGTATCTGTCAAAATAATCCCTGACAATAAGTTTACTGTAAAATAAAAACAAGCTTCTAATTTATATATGGTTTCTGAACTTGAGTCAGTAGATCCTGCTCCGCAAATTCTTGAAATACTTTCAGTACAATGAGAAGCACTGGAATTTCTAAATTGTTTTTCCTAGCATTGCTGAAAAAGCACCAAAAAAGTAGAAATAAGTACCATAAACCCCAGGAATCTCTTGAGAATATTAAGCTGGCCTTTAAACAGTAGCAGAAATAAGTAACATCCAGTAGCTGTTTCTACTCTACTCTACCGTACTGGATGAAAAAACCTGGAAAAAGGGACTATTAAAGAACATCCTGAGCACAAACGAGGATTCGTGGCTTTTGGCCACAAAACCATCTGAAAGCTGTTGAGGAAAAAAGACGGGACAAATTGCAAAATAAACTGTAAGATGGGAAGTAAGTGTTCCACCCGGGGCTGAAGGAATCCACGTACCTCAGGCGTGCTTCAGGCTTGTCTGAGGGCTGACAGCACAAGCCCTTGGTAAGCAAGGGGTGACACGGCTGGGAAGGGGCAAAAAAAAATCTTGGGCTTTTCTTTTGTTGTTGTTGTTGAGTGAGCGCGTATATACCTGCAGGCACACCTGTGTACACCCAGCCCCCTCCTAGCTCTCTGTCAGCCTTTCTCCGCAGTTTTGTGATGTTAAGAAAACAGTTTTATGCGTGCTGCTAATTTTCAGGTGCAAAGCGGTGGCAGTTCAGCGACTTGCACGCAAGCGAGAAAGTATCGCCGCTGCCTGAGCACGCTTTGTCCAGGCGCTTTTTATTTGGGTTAGAAGCGCTGCATCGCCGTGCTTTGGTACTTAAAGCAAGCCCTCATTTGTGCTTCAGCATCACGAGACAAAGAAAATGAAGTTGTTCCGTGTCGCGTGTGTGCGGTTTGTGTCTAGTTGTGTACGAACGGGTACTGGAATGCTTCTCCGTAGCTGTGGGGGCCGTACGCTGGCAGACCTACACCGAGACCCCA